CCTATTATAATGCATTATTCATATGCTTGTCATGTGCTCGTTATATTGTTGTTCTGCCCTATTATATGCTAGTATTATATGCTTGCATCATGTGTCGTATAGCGATGTCTGCCTATTATTATGCTGCTTATTATATGTGCTCAGTCATGTGCCGTTAGCATGTTCTGTTATTATATGCTATTATTATATGTTGTCATGTGTCGTTAGTATGTTCTGCTATTATATGCTATTATATGCTGTTATGTGTCGTTAGTATGTTCTGCTATTATATGCTATATATGCCTGATCATGTGTCATTAGATGTTTCTGCTATTATATGCTATTATAGTGTCATGCGTTAGCTTTTGTATTTGATTACTATATTTGAGTCAACTATACATATTGACGATGTGCGAAAGCGTAAACCTTTACTAACTATTCGTTGGGGATTGCAGCAGAAAAGCGAATCAGCCATTTGGAGAGTTCTTTCACACGTGGAGGCTGGACTGGACCAAAAGACAAACATGAGGTAGCAACAATCTCTAAATTGAATTATAGATTAATTAATATAAAAATAAAAATTAGCGCGAGTCGCATTTTGTACTCTAGCAGCTGAGCACGTGTTCCGAGGATAGGAGGTGATTTAACTACACAGCAAATACAACCTAAAAATATACGAATAAATACTAACAATGATAATGATAATAATAATAATAATAATAATAATAATAATAATAATAACAATATTATTATTAATGCTATTATTATTACCAATTTCTAATAAATAATACACACAGAGCTAGCTGACGCATGCGGCCAGCTGAAGCTATGTAATTGGAAGTATTTTTGACCAGAGGATAACTCTCGTTGCCGCCTAGCGTTCTACGTCGACGACGAACTGCAGTCTGTCGTCGAATCCTACAACTACTTCTTCGATATATGCGGTGGAACGTAAGCCGGCTTGGACACCCCTGCAAGGGACGCCGCCAAGATGCGCCCTTCGATCACCAGGAGTCTACGCAGCACGTGTTTCAACATATTCCACAATAATTACCCCATAAAATGAAAAAGCAACATAGAATGATGGTAGCAAAAATTAGTTGCCAATTTACAACCTATTAGTATTAATTAGTTTGTAGTTAAGTTAGTGTAATAAATTAGTTGTTAATTAAATACCGAATAGCAATACTTCATTGTAGGATGTAGTATTTGGCTATTTTTCAGCTTCTACATCGTCATAGAACGTAGCAGTTGGCGGCGGTTAACGCGATACTTTAACGACGCTTCTTTCGCGAACAAACAGCCGCACCGAAGCGTGCGAGCCAATGGATCCGCCGAACAAGCCTTCAAGGTATTCTACGCATCAGGTAAGACGAGTGTCACAGTGCCGCCGCTATACGATAATAGACGAGCTGGCAATGCCAGCCAGCGGCGGCCATCCATACATAGACGACAGAAGCACAGCTAGAATGCGTCAGGCCAAGCTATAAATGTCTTTATATACACACACACAACACACACATACGGACACACACAGCACACCACACACACACACACAACATCACACGCACGCCACGCACGCACGCACGCTACGCCACGCACACACACACACACACACACACACATTATGATATATATATATATACAACACACGCAGCGCACGCTACGCACGCCACGCACGCCGACGCACGCACGCACCCCGCACGCCACGCGCGCCGCCACACAACACACACAGAATGAATAATAAATAATGAATATTTTTATTTTATAATTAATAATCATATAATTATTAGCAAGTAATAGTTTCTCTACTTCTTTTTCGTTTTCCTTCCAATTACTATTATTTACTCTATATATCATTGTCGGCAGATGTTAGAGAGACGGATTTCGGCCGTCAACATCACACACTGACCTCTTGATTCAACAATGTCGATTTCTCCCGACGCCGGCCACTGTCCATAAGGCCATCCGCGTGGCAACATCCAAATAGCTGAAACAGTGTAGAGCCTTATTGTCTAGCTCTTATTAATCCCTTATTGATCTCTATTGGTTCCCTATTGATTTTTATTTGGCTGTTATTGATTCTCGAACGATTCCTTATTTATTACCTTATTGATCTCCTATTAATTCCCTATGGATTTTTCATTGGGTCCCTATTGATTCCCTGATATTTCTTTATTGATCCATTATTGATTCCCTGACCCCTATGCTGCCTTCGTGACCTTGGCAGTGTCTTGCCGACTCACCAGGCCATAACCAGTCTCCTGCCGGCATCTTGGCACGGACCTCGACGCGTCCGTAGCGGAAGGCGAACGAGTTGAGAGTGCGAAGTCGCGCCGACGTGACCGGGTTCAGATAGTGGACGCCGTTGCCCTTGCGTTCGCATCCGGAGTAGCTGTGGCCCGTGCACACGTCACCGACGCCGTTCATGCCCCACAGATTGACGCTTCCCGACTTAACGAAACCAGGGGAGTACTTGTCCTCCAGCAACATCTATATATTAGAGACTAATATATTATATTGTTCGTGGCAATAAGGATAAACATTTTGTACAAAACGTTATTTTTTTGGCAGATACTGGTCATGTGCAAACACAGGTCTTCCACTATATTAACTATGAAACCAGGGGAGTACCTATCCTCCAGTAACATCTATATGTTAGAGAATAATATAAAATTTGGTGCGTGGTAATGGGGATACATTTTTTTCACAAAACAATATATTTTTGGCAGATACTGGTCGTGTTCAAACACAGGTCTTTCACTATGTTAACTGTGAAACCAGGGGAGTACCTATCCTCCAGCAACATCTATATGTTACAGACTGATATATGATTTTGCGCGTGGCAATGGGGATAAATATTTTGTACAAAACATTATCGTTTTTGGTAGATACTGACCATGCTCAAACACAGGTCGCGGACATTTCGGCGACGTGTCGCACCAAAGAAAATGGCGCAAGGCCGACGTTCATCATTTAAAAAGGAGAGTGGCATGCCTACAGGAGGTGCGTATAGCGACTCCGCTACGTCAATGTGGAGGCACTGCCCTGACAGAGGTTCCTCGCTATACAGTCACCCCTCACTATGCACTTTGTCTGGGAGCTGCACCCTTCCCTCGCCATACTTATAGTAAAGAAATTTCCTCGTTGAAAGAATCCGCTCAGGCCACGTCATAATTAGCGTTGACATTGATTACCGGCTTGATAAACAGCTTTCCGTCTCTTGTGTAGCTGTTGCTGCGGTTGTTCTGGTATAGCTGAAATTCCCAATTCTGCAAAAAGATACATGTGAGTCGTTAGTAGTAACAATTTATTTCTACACGAACATTTGTCGATCCCCCCCACAACACATCTAGACCCGTCTAAATACGGCGTGGTTACCACCTATTAGAAACACGACGAGGTGCCTTGTAGTGCTAGTTTGGTGTTAGTGGGATATTTTATCGCCACCCTAATTATCTCTGTTCTAACTTAATTACCCCGCCTCCAGACATCGTGATTTCGTGCTCCCATGTTTCAATGTCAAGTTCGTCAAAGTTGTCCTCGAAGATAAGGCAAGGAAAGCGGTTGCATTCACTTGGCGTTTGCACCGCTGTAACACAGAGAGAGAGAGAGCATTGTGGTGATAGCCTACACCATTAATGTTCCACGCACGGACGCCACGCACACGGTGGGACAACACACATACACACACACACAAACACACACACACACAACACACACACACACACACACACACACACACACACACACACACTTTTTTACTTGCCCACGATTACCATAACAAGAATTAAGAAAAGGATAAATGCTGTATAGGGATTTCACTTTCTTTGCCAAGTGTGTGTGTGTGTGGTATGTGTGTGGATGTGTGTGTGTTGGTTGTGCTGTGCGTGCGCTGCGCGGTGTGTGTGTGTGTGGTGTGATGTGTGTTGTGTCGCGCGCGCTCGCGCGCGCTGTCTGTGTGTGTCGTGTGTGTGTGCGCCTGTGTGTGTGTGCTGCCGTGAATGCGCGCGCGTGTGTGTGGGCTCTGTGTGTGTTCGCGTGCCTGCGCGCGCTGTGTTGTGTGTATCGTGCGGTGCGCGCGCCATGTGGTGCTGTGTGTGTGTGCTGATGTGTCGTGTGTTGTGTGCATTCGCGCGCGCGCGTGTGGGGGGGCTTAGTCGGCTTTTTTTTTGCCCAAATTTTTTGTGTTTTTTCTTTTCTCGCGCGTAGGGGCGGGGGGAACCGGGCACCGGGCCGGGGCGGGGCCTTGGCGGGGGGAAAAAAATCTTTTTTTTGTTTTGTGTTGATTTGTAGGGTAGTCTTTGTTTTGTCTTTCTGTTCTCTGTCTCTGGTTTCGTTTGGTGTGGTGTATATGACGTGTCCGCCGCGCCCCCAAGCCGCTCGTCGGTGGGCGTGGGTGCTGGTTGGCCCGCCGGCCTGGCAATGTGTGTATTATAGACCAGGAAAGAAAAAAACCCCCATAACCTTGCTTTTTTTCATTTTTTTTTTTCTCCTTTAGTGCCTTTTTTCCCCTTTTCCCAAAGTTTGGGCCGCAAAAAAAAAAAAATGTGCGGACGAACGCACGTGTGTGTAGAGAGAAATATGTGTCCCTCCCGCGCGACTTTTTGCTGTTGGTTGTTGTTCTGCATGTTGCGCAAAGGGCGGCGGTGGTGTGGGGCCCCAAACATTTTTGAGTGTATGCTGGTGGCGCCGCCCGCCAGGGGGGCGGTTGGTGGTGGGCTCTGTTTATCGTTGTTGTTTGTTGTGTGTGTGGTGTGGGTGGTGTGTAGTTAGAAAAAAAAAATTTTTTTTTTGTGTGGGGTGCTGCCGCGACAACTAAAACGTAATTCTCTTCATATTCGCCCTCCTCTCTTCCATCGAGCACCAAAGTTTTTTTTTTTTTGGGGGGGGGGGGGGGGCCTCCTTTTGAGCGGCGAGCGGAGTAGAGAGGAGGCATTGGTTTAAAAAAATACACAATGAATTTTTTTTTCCCCCTTAAAAAAAAAAAGTGCACAGGCGGATCTTTCGTTGAGAGGATCTCCTGCGCAGAGTCGCACGCACATGCACTGGCAGTGCGGGGCGGCTGTGTGTCGCAAGGCGAATACCGGGCGCGGTGACAGGGGAGACCACCGGACGCTGTAGGCCCACGATATCATTGCCTCGGGGCACGCCACCATTGGGCCGCGAGCGTCTGACTAAATTTGCGTCGGGGCGGAGAGAGAAAGAAATGAAAAGTGTGGATCGGTTGTTGTGTATATAATGGTTTTTATTCTTGTATACTTTCAGCGAGAGGTTGGCCGTCTCGGGCGTTTGTTTAGTGCGCCCTTATTTATTTTATTTTCCCCCCGGTTTTATTTTTTTTTCCCTTTTATTTTCCCCCCCCTTCTTTTTAGTTTCGGCCGTTGCGGGGGCTTTTTTTTTTTTTTTTTTTTTGCCCGCCTTTTTATTTTCCATTAGTTTTTTTTATTTTTTTATTTTTTTTTTCTTGGGGGCTTTTTCTTTTTTTTCAAAAAAATTAAAGGGAGAAGGGGGGCAGGGGGCGGGGACGGAAAAAAAAAAAAAAAAAAAAAAAAAAAAAAAAAAACCCCACCCCCTTCGGGATCTTGAAAAATTTTTTTTTTTTTTTCTGGCCCGGGCGGCTCGGGCCAAAAAAAAAAAAAAAAAAAAAAATTTCCACCAACCCCTTCTTCCCCAAAAGCGGGCTTATTTGAAGCCGGGGGGGGGAGTTTTGTTAAAAAGAAAAAAAAAAAAAAAAAAAATCCAATTCTTTTTTTAAAAAAAAAAAAAGAAAAAAAAAACTAGTGCGGGGCCGGCCCCCAAAAACCAAAAAAGAAAAGGCGGGGGGGCGCCTTTTTATGGACCCTTTTTTTTTTGGTTCAAAAAAGAAACAACCCAAAAAACTTTTTTTTTGGAAATTTTAAAAAAAAAAAAAAA